ATTTTTACAACACCAATAAACTTCAAACGTTTGTGTATAGACTGTACAAAATAAATATATTTAATCAAACACAAACATGACGCATATAAGATACAAATCCAATTACTTTGTTTTCAACAGCTGGCTCTCCACAGTAGCCAACTCTTTGACAGCTTTTGATGCTGTTATTTGTGCACAATTCAACTGCGCTTTCTTGGCTTATACACAATTCAACTGCGCTTTCTTGGCAACAAGTAATCCTTCAAGGCTGGTGTATTTGTCCTGCAGCTCTGCACGGGATCGGTCAATTTCCGATGACGTAACGTTTAGCTGATGGATCCGGGCTATCACTTCAGTATAGTCTTGATGATACTTCTTGTATTTGTCCATTTTTCCAGGTGTTATCCTTTAAAACTACTTTATATTACAATGCATGTCTTTCAATTTATTCGTCCGTTTTGTTCATTATTATAGCATGTGCTCCGCTGATCCTCCCGTTTTATGCATGCTATGTATGTTTTTGATTATTCTGTAAATAAAATTAATAACCTTGGGAGTTATTCATTTGTATGTAAATAAGTTTGGAATATTGTTCTTTCTTGGCTTGTGCACAATTCAACTGCGCTTTCTTGGCAACAAGTAATCCTTCAAGGCTGGTGTATTTGTCCTGCAGCTCTGCATAGGATCGGTCAATTTCCGATGACGTAACATTTAGCTGATGGATCCGGGCTATCAATTCAGCACGGTCTTGATCAAACTTCTTGTGTTTGTCCATGAGCTCCTCATGAGACCGCTCAATTGTTTCTGTCTTGCTCTGATATTCAGCCCAATTACGATATAGCTGACACTCTTGTCGACTCGCAGAAACAGCTCCAAGTTCAGTTATTTTTTGATTGTCTTTGGCTTCCAGCTGTGCCTTTTCTTTCTTCAAATTATACTTGGCCTGTAAATGCATAAACATGAAATATTTATCAGTGTATACCGCATATCTCACAAATTAAAAAACATGATCACATGCTCATATCCTATTTCCTTCAGAGACATCTTAGTGTTATCATCCCTCTTCTCTTCAATCTGTAGGAGAATTTCCAACAAGAAATTTGTATTTCTTTATCTTTGTTTTATGGTTTTGTGTTTTCTTCACTATATAGAGATTAACATAAACATTTTACAAAAAGATGCTGCATCAAATTATGTAACTTCAATAAGGAATCATTTGAAGAAACCTTCACTATTCTTCCTTGTGTAACGGCCCAAATTACATCTTCTGCTGAGGTAATTTGATCATTCTATTTAGTTTCTTGTTATTTTATTAAGCTGAATTTCTTTTAAGTTTTTCGTTCAAAATTTTAACTTTTTGTGGTGGCATCTACCTAACTGTTTAGGACAAAGACGTGCGAGGACCTTCGGTTCCCAGGAGTCTTGTTTCTTACACTAAAGGACAATAAATTGTCGTGAATTGGTTGTAGTCCCAAGTGTCACACTTTGACATTTATGGCTGCAATATGTCGAAAGTCAGTTTGGACTTTATGGTTCATTGTCACTCAGCAGACAATGTTGCTGGACCATACACATTAAATAGCGTGAGAGAGAAACTTTCAAAGAGCTGTATGCAAGTAAATACGTCACTGGTTTTGAATGTTTCGAACCAGGGGCAGGACGCTTACAGCAGCACTCCTCAACAAACCTTCGACGCAGTCACAAACAAATACACTACAAATCTGAGATCATCGTCTTGCGGCTAAAGCCAAATATTATCATTTGTATTATTCTTGAATAAATAAATAGTGTGAAAAGAAAAGATTATATTCAGCAATAGCGGCAGCTTCCAGTTGTCGGGAGTTACATGCCGTTAACACCCCTGAGAAGATTCAAGTGCCTACCAAGGAGCCAAGCTCCTATTACTGAGCGGCTATAGCGACAGTAGCGATCCCAACGCCTGGCACCAAGTGGTAAAGGCCAGGAAGGACAGAGCTGCAAGCTACGCGCGCTCCAGGAGTCCGCATTTAAGGAGATCACCAGATCATCAGCTCCATAAGTAAAAGGTTAGTTCGTGAAGTGAGGGAACAATGCCAACCCTCGGGAACGATGGATAGAGGTTTCACTGTATTCCTTATTTCCTGTGCCACCTCATGGATAAATTTGTGTGTATGACCACGGTGGTCAGCAAGCTGCATTAAGCATGAACAATGAGCAGCAGGTCTGTCCTAGCGTTCCACACAGTGACTCACATAGTTATTTCCAAGATATGTTTCCTGAATTAATGAGTGTTATGAAGGCAGACAAATTAGAAGTAATTTCTAACGTAAAGGGGAAAATTTCTGATATAAGAAAGGAAATTTCAAGTGTAGAAAATAAGATTGTGAGTTTACAAAGCAATGTAAACAACATGCGAGAAGATGTCAGACTTGAAAACGAAAGGTTGATTAAGAGAGTTGAGAGGGAAAATGTAAAATTAAACAAAGAAATTTCAGAGAAATTACATTCGGAATCTGTAAGATTTTCTTGTGAAATCAAACAGGTTAGAGAGGATAATGAAGGGGAGTTAAGAGCTGCTAAACAGAATATGCAGGAATTGTCAAATGACTTACATAAGAAGTTAGACCAGCACATTGGTGAGGTGAATTCAGTAACAGGAGAAATAACCAATAGGGTTATCCAAAATGAGGAACATCTGGAACAAGGCCTAGCAAAATTAACTGAAGTAGTTCAGGTTCTTAGAAATGACATGGTGAAAGAACAAAAGAAACTAAGTCGTCGGCAGGGGGAGCGTTTTGTAGAGTTAAATAAAGAAGTCGAAAGGGCTAACGGCCTTAACGACAGTAGGTTTGAGAAGTTGAAACTTGAGATTAAACATTTAAAGGATAAATTGTCAGAACCTACTTCCATTGTTGGCAATGCAACTTTGTCACGATCAGCTGATAGCACCACAGCTAGTCAAAGCAGTTCCCACTGCGAGTCTGCTGAAAACTTGGGTAGTCAAGTGTCAAGGTCCAATGATATTTCTGGAGATACGAATGATGAGAATGTACCTGTGAGTCGTGATAGCATGAATGTTCGCCCTTACAATGCACATAACTATTTAAGTGCTGCAGATCTGTCCCTACCCATGTTTGAAGACAGCGATAAAATTAATGTAATTTACCATTTGAACCAGTTGGATGAATTTGTGAAGTTGAGGGGCGTACCAGAGTCATTACAATTAGCTATTGCATTCAAGTCAATATCAGACCCTGTGGCTAAACAGTGGATGTCAGCTGTGTCTCATAACTTAAATGACTATGAGCAGTTTAAAGTCGCTTTCACTAAAACTTTTTGGTCCAAGATGACACAGAGCTGAGTGAAATGTTCAATATGCCAAGATAAGTACGAAAATCAATCAAATCTCTCAATGTCAGGGCAACTGATTAAATATGCTGTTTTGGCCTCATATCTAGGAATGTGTGATGTTGAATTTATTGATGCAATAAAGTTACACTACCCAGTGAACATACAGAGGTGTCTGCTGGGGATTCCCTTGACTACCGTGCAGGAAACCATAGACGTTTTGAAGCGCCTTCAAATGCTAGAGGCTAATGAAGCAGGTAGTAAGACAAACATAAGGGGTAATAATCACCAGAACTATAATCCCGATAAGAGGCAGAACCAAATTCAATTATGGCGACAGACCGCGAACAAATCACCATTACGTGAGACAGACCTATTATGACAAGAGGCAGAATTATCCTGGTTACAGCCACAGCAATAGAAATGGGAACAACAACGGTAGAGGTGCTTATTTTTCTAGAGACAGGGAAGATGACAACCGTAATAAACACGAAGGGTCTTCCTTAAACCCTGGTGCCCCACCTTACCACAGTCCGACAAGGCAAACCGATAGGAAGGAACCGCAAGGACCATCCGAGCGTCCGGCGTTAAACTAATGTCGAGCGGCGTTACGGATCGAACCCCGTTCGCGTCAAAGGCAATAGAAACTTCAGATCCGGACCCAAAGCACAGTGTATTTTGTGAGGTGGGAGACAAATTTAGAGATGTGATGACTTCCGGTAGTAGTAATTATACGAATCCTTTGAATGAATTAATGATATATTATATTAATGACGGTCATTTATTAAATTGTACGCAGGTGTCAATTTCGTTCGGTGATATCTCTACTAATGCTATAATAGATTTAGGCAGCGAAGTTAACCTTCTGACCAAAAGTATTTATAAAGACTTGGTATCTGCAGGAGTGTCCACTTTAAGTTTACCCTTTGCCAACACAGTGTTAGTGACAGCTTTTGGCAATAAGACTCGGCGTATTAAAGATCAGATCTATGTGGAATTTAATATTGGGGGCGATAGTTTTGAGGGTGTGTTTTTAGTGTCCCCACAACTGACCAGCTCAGTGATTTTAGGATGCGATTATGCAAATGAGTATGGGATTGTTTTGGACTTCAAAAGGAAATGCTTCCGTTATGAGCGAGATGGAATTGAGAAAGTGCAACTGTTTAATCGAGGTGACCGGTTACATGACGTGGGCAGCGATGGACAGGAGTTGAAGGGAAGTTCTGCTTATAGCAATCATTTGATAGTTCAGGATTCCAACCTAGTTTGAGCAGGAGGAGGATGTGAAGTTTTAGGACAGAGGTCCTTGTTTATAAATGCCACAGAATGTGATGATGTCTATGAGTTTAATAGAGATGAAGAGATTAATGGTAGCCGATGGGGAGGCGATTTTTTCGACGTAGCAAGTGGCCGTTGTTTTTATTGTGATAGTAGTGAGGGAAGAGTTGGAGAGGAAGGTCTGATGTATCCAATCCCCCGCTTATTGTTACAAAATATCAAGATATAGATCCTGCAACAGACAGTTTGCTCTTGCTTTGTCTTTCATAAACCATCTTTCCTTTATACTGAAATTCTTTAGATAGAATTTAGCAACTGATTATGCTAAGCATGCATGGATCTGAGCCCCAACTTCAAATACCTTCTTCTTAGACAGTCGGCTCTTCACATAGGCCGCCACCATTACAGCCTTTGATGTAACAAGTTCTGCCCTATCCAACTTGTCTCTCATGTCAGCATTTCTTTGTTGCAGCCTTTTACAAGTCTCCACGACCTCTTCATAAGACCACTCAGTTTCCTTTGCCTTGCTGTGAACCTCCGACAATTGATCCTCAGCCTGCTTGTGATATCGATCAGACTCTTGTCGACTAGCACAAACAGCTCCCAGTTCAGCTCCTGGTTGATCATTTTGGGATTCTGCCTGTGTCGGTAGCTTCTCCAGATCAAGTTTAGCCTGCAAATGCACAAAAATGAAAATGTTAAATCCAGACTGTTGGAAAATGTGTAATATTACTTAATATTATATTCATAATTAAATAGAATTACAGGACACTTGTTTACACAGGAAAACCCCGCTTATTGTTACAAAATATCAAGATATAGATCCTGCAACAGACAGTTTGCTCTTGCTTTGTCTTTCATAAACCATCTTTCCTTTATACTGAAATTCTTAAGATAGAATTTAGCAACTGATTATGCTAAGAATGCATGAATCGGAGCCCCAACTTCAAATACCTTCATAATAGACAGTCGGATCTTTTAAAGCCTTTAATTTACAACGTTCTGCATGATCAAACTTGTCTATCATGTCACGACGCAGTCAAAAAGATGTCAGCGGTTTCCACTATTACGAGTTTTCATTCTACGGAACTTTCGGGAGAATGAAGAAGCGTCTAGACTCGAATAGCAACTGATTATGCTAAGAATGCATGAATCGCCTCTGCGCCAGGGTAAATGTTTCCGGTGTCGCAAAGAAAATAAAAACTCCGTACTCTTTGCGCGTTTTTATTTCACAGATGATTTCAGATGTTTGGTTCGTGAAGGACGTCAACGACGCAGTCGAAAAGATGTCAGCGGTTTCCACTATTACGAGTTCTCATTCAGCGGAGCTTTCGGGAGAATAAAGCAGCGTCTAAACGTCGATAATCTACCGGGCGAGTTTCAAGTTATCATTATTCGAAAATGTGTTTTGCTTCTGAAGGAAAGAAAAGATGAGGCTACATAGCGTTCCGAAAACAGCTTTCCAGAAGGCAGTCATTACCACTCCATTTCTACTAATTCTTTAGGGACAACGCACTGGGACGAATTGGAGTACTTGTTTAACTATGCGCTGTCAGCGAAACCAAACGTTCTGGGACCCAACGATCCTTCCGTGGGGACTCAGGACAGAAAGGTTAAAATGTGGACAAATTTTGCCAAAACTGGGTAAGTAAGAACAGCAAATTTGAAGTTGGACTTGCGCTGGAGACATGTTATGGAGGTAAACTGTGTGTTCTAGACTTCAGCAGAAGACAGAAATGGGGGGGGGGGAGATCTCCATGCTTCAATCACTTCGTTGACTGCAGAGTCCCTCCCACGTACCCGGACGTAAATTCATTTCACTCTGTAAGGCGCATGTCTGAGAGTTTAAATTCTTGTGGTTTTGTGATTGTCACATACAGTTCCACAAACTGAGAAAAAAATATTTGCCGAACATTTAGTTCTAGCAATCGTTTGCGGACGACGCTGAAAGCGCAGACTCACAGAATAAACCTTCCTGCTAATAGTTTTCAGGATGAACCTGCGCTAAATCCCCCCAGACAAGTCTGCAGCTAATCACCCCACAGAAACCACACTGGTGATGAAGTCAGTAACTTCCTCTGAAGTGCCGGTCAATATCCACACGGTGTTAAAACCTATTCGACAGGCATCTTTATGAATTCACCAGTATTCAAAACGTCTCTTACATAGTACATGCTTGTCCAGTGGTACGTAGTTTGCACTTTCAGGAACCCCTCGCCAGCAGGGGACCCACTGCTTAATGTCACGCGGGCAGCATACACTGTCGATGAACACTAGTACCTGAATATTGACCAGGAGCTGAGCTTGCAGCACGACCTCTACAAACATCGACTACAGTTCTGGAAAGATCTGTATACAACTGTGCGACCGTAAATTGTGATGTGACCATTTCAGTATTTCTTGTAGTTGCATCTGAAACATGAAGTAGATTTGTGAAGCTACGTAAATACTAGCATGCTAAACGTTGTAACTTGACAGCTTTAAATACTGGTCCTGGCACCAGAAGATAGCCATTTACATAATCAGAACTTCAACAAGCTTAATTAATCGGAACGGTATTGAATGAAACCAATAATTTGCTTGTCTCTTCTAGCGACGTTAATTTATTAGGCGAATTCTTATGCAGGTTACGTTTATGTACCGCGGTACGGATTATTGGGTTGCATTTAAAGTGGCACACCCTGCACAGAACACAGAGTTAATTACCTCCATACGTTTTCAATGCATGGTACTTAAACATAGATTCAACTTTAATATGGTAATGAACGGATTCCATGAAAGGCGGGCCGATTTCATGACCAGCTCACTGATTTCATTGAAAGAATAAAGTAGAGTGAAGTGTTAACAGCAGCTACTAGGAATATTGAATTCAACCTGCAATGTCTTAAACTTCGGAACCAAAAATTTGTACTTTCTGTTTTCCTAGAAGGATCTCGGAGGTGGTATTAAAGTGTGATTAGAAATGAAATGTAAGCTGCAAACAGTGTGATTGAAGAAATGCCAATATTATGGGGTGGTAGACCTTTTTACCCAATGTTGACATTTCATCATTCAATTTAACAGAAACAAGGTGACGTCAGAGTAGCGAGACTAGAAAATGAGAAATAGTTGGTAGCCTAGACCTTTCCCCATATGGCAGGGCATTTCCACAGTGGCGTGCCTCAGACAGAACAACCCACTGACCGACACAGTAAGCTCTTACTGTGTCTTCATGCTGAGGCATGAACAGATAAATCTGAAGTAGGACTGTTGGTTGCCGGGCCCGGGACTTAACCATGTATAATATCCAAAAGGTTTAACAACCAAAAACAGTAAATGACTTGTTGTGCTAATCTTTTGCTCAGGGCATCTGCAGTTTCTGCTGTATAAAAAAATTTACACCCTTACAAACCAGTCACTTATCTTTGATACTGAGAAAAAGTTGACCCTGCTTCCATAAAAATAACCTCTCCTTTTACAAAGTCCTGGCTGACCTGTCATCTAAATATTCTGAAATGTCATCTTAGTTGCTTTCAGATGAATATGATGAACTTAATTCAGGTCAGTATCAAAAACACTCTCATTCAGTTACCTCCTCTGCCAATGCTCATAATTCTTTCACTCCCATGACTGAACCTTGGCGGAGCACGTAAATATACACAAAGACTACAGGGTCTACTGAATGTATAGAGATCAGCTACAAACTTAAACAAAGGTAACACAAAGCAGGGAAGTTGTAAGCTGCCCCCATACAGTGCACACTAAACAAAATGCAAAATAAATACAAGAGGAAAGGGAAGGAAAAATATCCAAAGTCAAGTGATCTAAATGAACCTTTGAACAATCTCTGTTTGTTAGCGATGCAATCTTTTGTGATCTTATCAAGTACTTCAACTTTCATCAACACAGGAAGTGTCAAAGCCTCTCTGACAAATTAACTACATATAAGCACAGGTCTTCCAAGAGATCGTATTAATTTCTTGTCACTCTGAATTGTGCTACACAACATACGCATTTCATCCTTCTTGGACTGCACATTGTAATACATGGCAGAGCACAAATTAGAAAGCTCCTTATTTTGAAACACTCACTAGTCTCGTCACTACGTCTCTCTCTGGTCCAAATAGTTGCCACAGCAACATATAGTCAAACGTCCTCAGTCTACATTTGCAAGGAAGATCAAGTTGTTTTTAGGAAAGAGGAGGTTATTTTCCTTCTAGTTAATATAGTATAATTAATGTACCCAAATCCTTCTATGGACTTTCACAAAATATTGTTGCCAGGCACGAAAATAAACACTGCACACTAAGCTGGATACAGTGCAATGTGCAATAAGTACTATAAAGTTTAGGAGAGAATGAAATTCTGTAATCATACGATATACATATTACTCCTGAAGCACCATCTTACTTGATTTCTGCAGATCCATTTTCAGGCAGTAGATCAAAAAGTTCCCCATTGTATTCTTCTACATATGAAATTCGCGCTTTAAGATCAACTTCTGCAAGCAGCTAACTCAAACAGCGTGGAATAATTCCTGACGGACAGTCCTATGGAAGAGGCAACATAGTTTTTACACATTTATAAACATATACACTACACACATACAGAGTATGAACAGGACAATTAAAAAGTAGTAGTGGAGTGAGGCAAAGAAGAACATGAAGGTCATCAGTTCCATTTGAAACTTTTCAGGAGCCTTCACTGAAATATGTCCACAGATCCATAAATTAGTCAGATGAGAGTAGGATATGAAATAAATCTCTGGTTTAAGTGCTCCAAGTCCTAAGCAATTACTTGCTCTGCTGCTGGTGTGTTCTCTCCCCGTGCATTATTACAAATTAGGACCAACCTTCATAAACTTCCATTTATGTCACTAAAAGTACTTAAACTGCTTTCATAACTCTTCTAGTTTGGTGTAGTACCACATATAATGCGATTACCTGGACCGGGAATTCAGCTCTGTGAAGGCAGTGTTCAGAATTGGAAGGACATCCTCCTCATTATTAATCAGTACCTCCTCTACAGATGGACTTAGCCTCAGCCCAGCTTCAGTTTCATAAAGTCTGTAGTTTAACAAGAGACAAGAAGTATTAAAAGTACCTGCAAACTGTGCATGTAAGAATTCAAAGTCTTAATAACACTAATATTGACATTAGTAATATCTGTAACATGTCCTTACATGATTCGCTATTATTTATTCAATAACAGTGAAAAGAGTGTTTGTGAATACGTTAAACAACAAAACCAATCTCGTGATATAATCCCCTGGATTATCAGCTGAAGCAGGCCGTATCTATCACTATTTCTCAAGATATGACCGAAATATTCCAACTTTCTCCTTTTTATGGTGATAACCTCCACGTCTTAGCTGAGTTCCTCGAGAACTTTTTTGTTGGTTAGACGGTCAATCCAGGAAATTCTGAGAATACGTCGGTACAACCACATTTCGAAGGCCTCCAACTTTTGTAAAGAAGCTTAGGTCAACGTCCACGATTCAGCGCCGTATAAAAGCACATCTGAGTAGTCTTAACTTGGTGTTTAAGTTTAAGGCTCTACTCCTGAACATTGATCCCATTTTGATGAAAGTGGCTCTGGCTTTTACGATACGGCACTCTATTTCCAAGGAGTGATCCCACTGGTGATTAATTGTGCTGACCAAGTATGTATATTTCGATACCCTTTCTATTCCTTTATTATTAACTACCAGCTGACTGGTAAATACAGCATTCTTACTGGTGACCATGAGCTTTGTTTTTTGATGTTAAGATCTAAGCCGTGGTTGGTACTGGCCTTCACAATACGATCCATCAATTCTTGGAGACCTTCCAGAGAGTCGGCGAACACTACAGTGTCGTCCGCGTAGCGAATTTTATTTAATCGTTCTCCAATCACAAGCACTCCAACGTTTATATTTTCCAATGCTGCTTCGAATGTGTTCCGAAGAGGGATTGAATAGAATTGGAGATAGATTGCATCCCTGCCGAACATATGTAATATCCATAAGAATAATTCCCAATATCGGCTTCGAAAATAACATTATTAATTGCATGCTTCACTTGTGCTAAGGTGCTTGGGTCGTATTTTCTTAGCTCGTTGGCGATATGTAAAATAAGGGTTTGTCGGTGAGGTTACACCGGACTTGAGGATATGAAACGCTTCCAGTAGCATTGTTTGATTTTCTTCTTTAGCTGCGGCGCTGGCAGACTTGGGATCTGTGCGGGCCCTTTTACGTCGAGGCGCTCCTGGTGTTCTAGAAGATGTTATTCCTTCAACAGCAACAGCGATCGGTCCCGATCTTCTACTTTTCTGAGTACGAGGCCCAGCTGCTGGGTGTGTCCTCTTGATAGGTCCTTGGTTCGATGGTGCTGAAGCGTACTTTGACGATTGGCTGTAATCTAACGTATCCACTTTGTCCGGTATGTTTCTCGGTTGCTTAACGGGGTAGTAGATTTAAGCGGGAATACTGCCAACCAGTCTTTCAACAAAATGGCTTTTACCAACTCCATATAGGTAAAGCGCTTTTTTTTAAACTGGTCTTTGAGTTTCTTATTCCACCATAAAGAAACCTCCCAGCATCGTTCCAACGGACGAAATACTTTTGAATCAATAACCATACGCATTCTACATTCATTACGAAATTCCTGAAGGAACTTGGCTTTCTGCAAGTGTTCAACCACAAACGGGTCGGTGTAGCTAAAAGACACTGTCTTTCTAGCCCAAAACCACAACCGGTAATAGAAGGAAAGTTTATCAACTGAACAATTCCTTATCCTCCTTGGTAACATACTTCAACCAATTGCGTTCCGACCTACAAGGTTCCACATTGATCGTAGATTTAAAAAAATCCTAATTGCGCCGTACACTACTGCAATCAGTAGGTTCATAAAACTTAATATAAGCATGGAGATGATAATCACGTGTTAACTTATGCTTCTGTATTCCTACGCAATAAGTTTCGACACCGTCGAAGTAGGAAAGAAAGTCTTCCCTAACTGAAGGATTATCTTCAACTGGAGACGCAGAAAACTCCTACCTCGCTTACTACCTTTACAAGTCTGAACCTGATAACGGACATAACGTTTCTTTAGGGAGTGCTGATAAGGTTTTGGGTGTGGCCGGATAAAGTAAACACCTGAATCGGAAAGTGGTGTCGAATTGCTTCTAAGATTTCATTGTCGGTCATAGGATGATCTAAATATTTAGCCTTGATGACATATTTCATCAAATGGTCGGCGTAGCTCAGTCGATTTTCCTCGATGCACAGGTCGTGATTAATATAAACACGGGACCTTGGATTGGTATGACACGTTGCAATATTGTATGAAAAATGCGTCTTTGAAGTTCCTTATATTCCTTGACATTCCAGAACATATAACAGCGGTAAAGAACTGCAAATGAGGGGGATAATCAGTCGAGGATTCTAAATGGGCCTTCACATGATTGTTTATGAGTTTACACCTCTCCTCCGTACTTATATCGCAGACATCACAATCTGACCAGATCTGTGAAAATTCATCCATGCATGTATAAAGTGAAGCTTTGTACTCACCTCCACGTGATATTTCATTTGTAAGCATCTGGCCCGTTTGGTTGCATCAGTGAAACCACTTTCCTCCCAAATCGCTGCCAGTCTCTCCATTTGAGTTCGCGTAAAATTGTCCGCATAGGACAGACAACACATCGTCATAGTAACTGAAAAGGAAGAAACCATACATTTATATTTCTTGGATAAGAAAGAAGTTGGAAACATTTCTTTAAGTTTTGCACGTCGCACTACTGATCCCAGGGCAAGTCATAAAATGCTTTGCTATGTACTTTTATTTAATCACACCATAAATTTCGCTTTCGTACAAGAGTTGCCCACACTGTAATTCCAAATCTGAACTTTCGTCTGTCCCTACGTCTGCACCCTCACACAGCCTTCTCGCTCCCGTTCTGGATGCATTGACCGACCTGCTTTAACAGTCGTCGACCCAGAGTCTGGTATCCTTATTTCGGTAGACCTCGCTGTACGCGCTCACTGGGTTCACTCGCCGCCTTCTTCAGGTGGCTACTTGGAAGTTCCTCGAGTTTTCGTGGCCCCGCGTTGGGCGTCAATTTCTGCTACAGCCGTCCTTTCTCTGCTTTCGAGGAGTTGTAGCCTTCGGTGACGATGGGTTTCAGGGTTAATTTGAGACCCTAGCTTGTCGTCAGGGGATATTGCGTGTGGGGTACAAGATGAACAGTGACCTCCGGTAGAAGGTCCCGTCGTTGCAGCGTAGAAATAAAACACTTTGCGTAGACGACTATTACACGAGTGCATAGCACATTAATAGACATAGGCAAATTGCTACTGAACAACCATTAATAATAAAACTCGGTACACCATAATGTCCAACAGTTTTCGATGGCCGCACACGCTTTATGGCATTACGAATATAAATGTCACAGACTGAAAATAGAAATAATTCAAGGTCGACGCGATGTTTCACACCCATAACGGGGTCCGATGATCAGCAAATACAAGTTTAATGATTATTCTCGGTATACTTTCTGAGTCCAGTTCACTTGTACGGTAACCAGTCTAGTTAAATATTGCCAGAAGCAACAGAGAAGAGATGCAAAGTCACAAATACGTACGTATCAAGTTTTCCCATATTACAAATATCCATTTCTTTAACCTTCTTTCTAATTAATAGCATTAAATTAATTAAAAAATGATTTAGCAATTCGTGGTGTGAGTAACCCTTATGGGCTCACTGACCCTCCCTGAAAGTCTTCCTGTGGAAATAATCGCCTTTAGAGGAAACAGAATTCACTTAGGTTTCCCTTTTTCCATGTCATTTAAAGAGTGGTCTACAGCAATATGTTTTGTAACTGAATTCTTGTCTTTACCATTTTGAATTATCCAACTTGTGATGTAGCCCATGTAACATAGTGGCCGCCACTTTAAGCGACTTCTATGCATTCGCTATTATTGCATTAGCATGTAGTTGTGTAAACTTTCCAATCTTGTACACAAATGGATTTTCACAGACGTGCCTCTGAAGTTCGCCAATAGAGACCACGAGTTGTACCAAGTACGAGAGTTATAGTCGGCGCCGTAGGAACGAGTCATTTTGTGCGATGGTTATAATGCTGACTGCACCGAGGAGCTTATCAGACTGAACGCCCAAACAAAAGAAATGCACTGACCGTGCCACCTCAGGTACACAGACTAGGCCCTTTCGCCAGCTCCGCTAGCTTCTGCGCCGACTATACAACTCGCCAAAACCATAGGACTGATTCCTACTTTGTCGATATTTTGTAGTTACCACAGACAGACATTCAATTTTCCTAGATCACACTAACATAAGCAAATGCAGCGGTGAGGCATAAGCCTCGTGTTCCGCAGATTTCGTTCTTGTTTCAGCCTCCCAGCAGCGCTGTTTCTGAGAAGTGTGGCCATGGAACTTTGCGATCGTCGAGGTCTGGGGGCGTAGCGGTCACCAGCCAACATTTCTGGATATTTTCTGTTTCAGAGGAATAACGAAACTTGCAAAGATTTGCTGAGGAAGTCTCTTGAGAGTACAGACTACTTTGGCAAGTTTCAGGTACAGGCATTCTGAAAAGTTAGTTGCAGTTGAAACCCTTTTTGACTGCACTATGGCCTGTTACCAAGGGCTGGGGAAACGTGGTGTAACTTTAAGTTAAAACATGGCTGTCTTCTGAGTTTAGCACTATGTAACTCATCGCTGTGGTGATGGAGGCAGCAAGGACCTCTGAAACACTAGTAAACGTCTACCAGATTACACGGTGCTGCAAACCAAAAGACAGCCGTCATTGGACTCACCGCTGGGAGAACCTTCAATCGAAATTCTATTCCAATTTGTTAATATACTTTTGGCTTTAGAGTCAGATAAGGAGTGATAATTTTACATCAAGTTATTTATACTGATAGTAGAATTTAGTTTTAATTAATAAATTTAAAACAAGTTTTAAAATTTAAAATCAGGCAACTTGGTGATGTTTTTTGTAAGTCTGTGACACATAAACAATACGGTACAAGTTTTAATTGCATTCTTGAGGAGTCTTGGTAGTGAATGCAAAACGTGAAGAAACGTGGCCTGGTTTAAAAAGAGATTGGCCTGTAACCTCGTATTGTCATATTTCAAAAATCGATGTTGCCGCCACTTTTGTGGACGTGCTGATTCAGTCTTCTGAGTCCTCGCACCCATCACACATGAAGTGAAATTGATCCATCACTATCACTGAATCCATTTGACAGCATTTTTCTTCTTCTTATTAGTGTTGTCCAAATACAATCCACCACATGAACCACGGGGGATGGGGGGGGGGGTGATGGAGGTTGCTGGTGTAGGCCCAGTTCGAGAAAATATTCCTGCAGATGGATTGTTTCCAGGCACTTTGCACTGTATTTTCATATTCAGTGTTGACTGGGGTTTTATTAACTCTTCAACCACCAATACCAACCAGCGGTTGACTTTCATAAATAAATGGATAGTTCATTCCTTCAACTTCAACAACATTGTAGGCTGCCCATCTGACTTGATTGGTTACTCCAAGGACTGCCTTATGCTTCCACTTCTTACTTTGGAGGGATTAGAAATGCTTTTCCAGGATCGTCCAGATGCTTTTTTGTAGTCTTTCAGAGTGCAACATGGTATATCCTATGACTTCCTTTTGTAAGGTTGCCAGCCTTCATTCTGAATCAGTCATACTGCTTCCTTCATGAGCAGTGTTCTGGCTTTTAAATGCCATAGTCCAAAAAACAAAGGATCGTAATCTTGTGGCAGTTAAGAAAACTGCTTCTAAATCTAAGGCTTTTGTAGTGAAAGCTATTGAACCTACTCGCATGTCATTTTGACGTGTTCAAAACACCTTCAACTGACACAGAAACAAAGACGATCCATGCCACCGCTTCCAACTCCATTACACCTCTATCCTGTCGACAAGATCTGGATACATGGATAGGATCAAAATTGAATTGCAGCCCAACAACTTCATCAGCTCGTCATTCACTCCTTTCTAAGGCTCTGGAAGCATCCCAGTGAGCATTGCTTATCCCACAATTTCTCTGCCCTTTTCTGGCCCCAGCCAGAGCTCCCTTCCACTCTCTTGCTTCCTCCCATATGTCCCACCAGACAGACTCCCTAAGGCCCTCAAAAGAGCTTTCTTTCGGACCTCTCTATTTCCTTCTCTCCATCTCGCACACGCTACAACATGCCCAAGCCCTCCTATTTGTTCCCACCCCCTGCCTGATTCTGAACCAGTCCCCACTGGTTAGGTTTAGGCTATTCCTTTTAATGTCCTGTTCCTATAAATCATAGCGCTATCCGCTAGCATGACTTATTAATCGCCGTGATGATGGAGGCAGCGTGGACCTCTGAAATGTTGGACATCTACCAGACTACACGGCACAACAACCCAGAAGACGGCCTACAGTCAGTATCAGCCATCAGTCGATTTCAAAAGAGGAATATCACTAATTAATTTGGTGAAAGCTTTATGGATTTTTGTGAATTTCAGTTTAAAGATGTCAGTGTTCAGGATTTACAAATGAAACTGAAAGCCTTAAACCATCAAGTTCTTGATAAAAGTTTCCATTGCCGATTGGCCATCGTTTTAATGTGTGCTGTACCAGTTACCAAACTGCGTTATATAGGAATTAGTGTTTAACCAGACTGGATGGAGGGGTAAAGGCATCAGCGGAAGTCAACTTGGAAGAGCCAAGCACTCACCAGATGAAGAAGTATCTTCCGCTGTAAGCACATTCCATAAGCCAAGATGGAACAGAACCAGCCTTTTGTGGGCCATTCATATTTCTTTACTCAGCCCTCCAGAACCAAACTGTGTGGAACAAAGGACACTCTTAAGTCACATTAAGACTGAATGTTTCTTTGGTGACAAAAACTTTTACCTGATGTTCTTTTACTTTAGGTTTGAGCAGCTGCTGAGAGTAAGATGATGTAGAGTAATTCATGTGTAATTTTATGTTCGGTTTAGTTTTTTTTTTACTTCTTATGCCACGTGATCAAAAATTCACGCAAGAAAACCCACTGGGGTCACATCATGTAAGCTCCTTACATAAAACAGTCTGTTGTCTTCTAACAGTGTAAGTGCAAAGATATATTTTTCATAAGTGTAACGAGTGTTTATCGTCAAACACCATATGGCATCTTGCTTGAAAATTAACTTTCCAGAATGATACATTTTCTGATTCTCCTGCGCCAAACAAATCGAGAATGTTGTCTGACGAACCGTTTCTATAACGAAGCTCGTCACTGGCTTTTTCAGACGTGATTTAAAGAATGAATGCGTGAATTTCCGAGCACAGCGGATATTTCTGACACATAGTGTTTTTGTTTTCTGAATTCAATGTAATTTTTATTTTATTTTTAAACCATGTGTCAGGAACAGGTTGCTTGACTTTTTATCATTCTGTACACACTAATTTTATTTGTCAATGCCATTTAAAGAAAGTATGTTAATGTAGGAAGTTGTTTATGCCAAAGGAAAAGTGTGTTCACATAAGTGAGAATGTTGACGAGGAGCTGTAAGGGCAAGCTGAATTTTGGACATAATTAGAGTTTTGGAGATGTATTAACATTGTGACTTTATCTAAATCTGAAATTATTCTATTTGGTTTACTATTTCCCTACTGAAACCCGAGAGAATGATTCTGAATGAGTGTGCATGGCCTCTGGCGTGGCGTAAATCCCCGCAAGCCAAGAATATATTATGTGGCCTCTGGCGTGGTGTGAAAACCCGTAAGCCAACATGAGATAAATTGAAAAGACTGTGATGTATCTTGAATGTGTGATACAAAAATCAGACTATCTGATTTTTTAGTAATAAGATGTATCATGACTTTGCATGGTAAAGGCTATCCAAATATTGTATATTTTCATTTTGTTGAACAATTAGGAATTTTGGGGGAAGACATTCCAGTAAGTCACATGTTAGGCATTGTTTTTTGTAGGGGAATGAGTATTTATTTTGCCCCAAGGATTCACATTTATTTCAGAACAGGCTGTAGAAGCCACACACCAGGTAGTGCTTACATGATGTCCTGGGCTCAGCATTCTCGCACCCTGACCAAACTGTTGTCACGTTTGGTGAAGGAATCATTCAGCAATTTTGCACGACTTTTTCCCTTAGTTCCTTCCTTTGTCTGAAGACTCCATGTGTGAGGTGAAGTGGGAACTACACTTACAGCAGAAATCCTAACACCAAAATTTGTGCTGAAGAACCCCATTTCAGTTTGTCTTATGCCTGATAAGGTACTTCCTATTGATTGGCTGACATATTAAGATGTTGCTCATCGTGTTTGAATTGCTAGTCCCCCAAAGACGGGGCATATATTTAAAGTTGTAAAATATATGATAGATCTGTTTTGTGTGTATTTCGGGAAAACATTAATTTGGCCTCGTGTATGGGATATCAATAGATATTTGAAAACAGGCATAAGCAGCGAACTTGGGAGGTGACAGATTGCTTGAGGAAAGCGGAAGTAGGAAATGGGAGTCTTAACAGTAGCCATAAATTGTAAGTGATTGTTGAAGTTTGTATTGTACAATAAACCAGTTTGTATGTATGGGCTTGTACACTTATTCTGATCCTTACTGTCAAAGCTCTTAAGGCAGAGGTTCCCAAACGAGGTTTTTCATATAAACCCCCCCCCCCCAGGGGGGACCACACTTAGGGAACCTATGTCCCAAGATATATTAGGATTCCCATATTTTTCATTCAACATTTCAAGCTTTAAAACATCAATTGTTTTTATAGAAAGATTGGCTTATGTAGCTTAAATGCTCTATGTAGAGGCTCTTTAAGGATTCTCATAGATTCCCAGGTTTATATCCCCCTTTGATAATTTTGTTGGTTAATCAGAGCACTTGAAATAAATTGTTTCTGTGTTCTAGTACCATAATGTCGGAAATATAGTACATTGATCCGAATCATTCAAACAGAGATTTCTTTGAAACAGGAAGTCAGAATGATGTTCATGAGAACGTAACAAATGCTAATGGTAAGAAAGTTGAAACTGTTCCTGGCCACCACACAAAGTAGGTCCTGGAGGTAAGAGTTACAGTGCAGTCATACAATTTTAATCCTCGGAAGCTATTGTGGTGTTCAGAGAAAGAGTAGAGCTATTTGAGCTCTGAATTATGACAGGCTATGGACAGAAGGAGGCCTGAATGCCTTACCTGATGATCATGTGGATTCAGTGGTCCCTAGAAGCACTGCTTATCCACCTAATATGGAGTTTAAGAACACACATTTGTGGCGTAGTGCTATTTTTATGCCCTACCCATTCCTTTTTTTTTAAAAAAACCTTTCAGGTTTAGTAAATAGCACTAACCATGATATGGAGCCAGTTAGCTCTCCCTGTATAGAGACTAAGTTGCAGCCAAGACAACCGGGCTCAGTTCCTAGGAGAGCGAAAGAATTTCTTTTAGCTACCACCTCCACATTGACTGACTCGGCAACTTCAATAGTTGTTTGTCGTCAAGGTCTACCTTTTCTCACTGATAAACATATTAGATGCGCCTAAACATCTGGCATGAAACACTGTGGTCAGTTGAATTTTCACTGTTGTTGCAGAGGGGGGAGTTAATATATTTTAATATTCAATTGACCTCAAAGGACAGGCATACAGACTGCTACATGATAAAATATGTGTGTGATAGAAACCAAAGGTCACAACAGGTTCTCATTGTAGTGGTTGTGCTGCAGACTAGATTGGCATTCGATTTCTTGCAGCCGGAAGTCGTCTTAGTTACCGATCCAGACCGGCCCTAGGGCCATCAAAAGGACACCATTGTCTTGAAGCTAAGTATTTACCACCACCATCTAGAGCTATGGTTAAATATTAGTGGATATTTACCTTTGTCCCCCTCCCACCAATCACTCTCCAAGTGGTGCTTAACAAGCAACAGTTTAATATTTCCAGTCACAGTAAGAGCCTATGATCTAGATTTGCCCACATAATAGCCCCTGTATTGTTAGAATAAAAGAATAGGATAATTGACATTTATTGTTTACTTTTATTAAAGATAACAAAAATTGTGCTTTCGAATGCTGCCATGCACAAGGAGTGACTCCCTCTGGGCAAATTCCGGAATACCTTCGATTAGGCCACGATCGCTTCCTTACACATCCTTTACAATTCATCATTCACAATGGTCCTCTCATTCGACACTGTCGAAGGGGGAAAAAAGTTCTGAGAAAGACAGGAAATTCACTTGTATACCAATTCTAGCATATTCAGTGGACTCTGCCCTTTGTGAATGGAAGACACCAATGACCTCTTTTCTGACCTCAAACCCTGATATAATGATGCCAGCCTTGTGCACTGCCAACACAGGTCTATGAACAGATACTGCTTATACTAATTAACATGCAAATTCCTTGCAAGTCACAACCCTTGTTATATGTGTCAGTGTACCTGTTTGGTTTTTTGACACAATACAGAATGGAATACTTAGGAAAACTCTGGTTTAAAATACTAAACTCCAGATTCATTACAATTTCCACCCCTCATGTAATGAGTGATATGCTCATTTATGTCACTTCTTTCATTTTCTGAAATGTAATCCTTATGTCGCCTGCACTTTGTCCCTCGAAGGTACACGCTACCACTATTTACGAGTAAACAGTAAAACATGACATCTCTAATAGTTTTTAAAGTTTGAATAATAGTGTGTCTTCATTTAACCTGAGATTGATTTTGGTATTGAAGTCCTTCTAATACATCTTCTGCCTCTTCACGTAAACTCTCTGCTTTCTGCTTCAGCAGTAGCTGTAAGAATAATCATGTAAACTAATATTAACATTTATTTACATAATTCAGATTCTCAGTTGAAAGACATGTAAATGCAGGGGAAAAGAGAACCCTTTTTACCTACCTACTTACTCCACGGAGCCGAGTCCTTCCTGAGAAGCTAACAGTTGCTCAGCCGCTCAGGAAATTCCAACACTTATGAAATCTGAAGGCTTTTTACCATGTTCACAAGAGCCCATCACTGGTCTCTGTCCTAAACCAGATGAATCCAGTGCATACTGCCCCATCCTATTTCTGTAATATTCGCTTTAATGTTACCCTCCCACCTACGTACCCTGTATGCATTTTTCTTCTCTCCCATGCAGGCCACATGCCCTGCCCATCTCATGCTCCTTGACTTGATCAGTCTAATTATATATGGCAAGCTAGACACTTTGCAACTTTCTCCAGCCCTTAGTAATTCATCCCTCAAAGTTCCAAAAATTCTCCACAGCACCCCATTCTCAAACAGCATCAGTCTATGTTCCTCGCTTAGTGTCAGAGACCGTTTCACACCCATACAAAACTACAGGTAAAATTGTTTGTAGACAGACGAAAGATTCCGAACTGAACGGTAGCATGCATTACCTGAATTGAATCTGCTCTTAATTACCTCTTGAATCAAACTTTTAAAAGTTACTGTTACTCCCAAATATATGAACTTTGCCATATTTTCAAAGCATCCATTAACTATATTTATGTTACAATTTTGCCCTACCTTCTGGTAACAACACATGAACACATACTTAGTTTTCTCTGTGTTTACTTCTTGACTAGCCTGCTTACTAGCGAAAATTAGAGCTTATGTGTTTTTCTTTATGGTATTTATGTTATCCCCCAATATATTTACATCATCAGCAACCAAAGAGAACCCTTAGCATTGCAAAATGACTGTCAGTAATCAATAGATTTAAAGTAAATTAATTAGCAAGTTATTCACCATACAAAAAAAAATCAAATAAGATCCTCAAGAAGAAAAAAGTTAGGAAATGTATGCATAGCATGCATTGAACAGAAGTTGATTTTTCACCTTTGTAAAATGGCACCAATTACATCAACTGTCTGGGATAAATGAAGAAGATCCTGTCAACTGATTTTCCCCTCAAATGAAGGTAGAGGATTTTTCTTTGCAGACGTAAGTAAAGTAGAGCCGGGATAGCTCGGTCAGTATAGTGACTACCTACGGGCTGGGTGATCGGGGTTCGATCCCCGACGGGGGAAGAGGATTTTTCCTCTAGCCTCTGCGTCCAGACTGGCTCTGGGGCCCACCCAGCCTCCTGTCCATTGGGTACTGGGGTCCTTTCCCGAGGTAAAGCACGGCCGGGGCGTGATGCTGGCCACTCATCCCCATCTGGTGCCGAGGTTAAGAAAGAGTAGGAGCTCTACCTCCGCTCCCTGCAAGTGCCTGCACAGGCATGTAGCGGGACTCTTTACTTTACTTTACAGGCGTAACAATATTAATTGATGTTCTCATGGAGGTGAAGATGCCAATCACAATCATCTGGGTTCTATACTGTGTGAGCTTCTAGGTGGTTATCGCTGTTTAAAATAAACATATTGCTACCATCGTTACCCCAAAGATGCTGTATAGACCAAGAGAATTTACTTACCTTAGCTGCAGCTACAATTTGATTTGCTGTCTTTTTTGGCAAATGATCAATTGAATGAACCATCTGCTTTGGGTCAGCATTTGCCACATCTCGTAATGTCTTGTAACCAGCTTTGTAGAGTTGCCTGGCTCGTCCCTACACAATGAACGAGCAATAAAATAATAACATACAGTGAAACAAACACTTACTACAGAGTTAAAGAAATAGACGCTAGTGGACATGGATAATGAAAATCTCAGTTTCTTTAACATTCTAACAAACTTATAAATTAAATTATACAATTTAATGAACTATCACTAAACAAACATTTTGCTAGAATAGGCTTCCTGGAAATTGTCAAACATATTCTCAAAATATTCATTGTACATATCAACATACAGAGAACTGTTAAATAAAACATTTTTAGGAATATATTACAGTGAAACCTCGATGCATCGTTTTCGGCGGGGGTGGGAAATAAAAACGATGAATGCGGGAAAACGATAGATGCGGGAAAGCATTAAAAATTTTAAAAAAAACAAACAATGTTTCTCTTTCAAAGTTACTTCTTTTTACCAAAAAAGTCTTTAATGGACAACTGGTTTGTCGAAACTTTACGTTTTAGGCCAAACAGAGCCCTTTCCACGTTCAAAATGTTTTCTTCGTCACGTTCACTAATATTATGCGCATAAAAGAACGACTTCACTTTTGCCAATGCAGCGTGTGCTTCGGCAAAACTCGGCAAAGTTCGGGCTCGCATTCGTCGTTTCTCCCTCTTCCTCACCGCTCC